AAGTCTTGGCTAAAAAACAAAATCAATGGTTAGGAAGAGAAAACTAAAGAGAATGTTACCCAGGAGAGCAGCGCTCTGGAGGAGCTGCAGACAAAACATCTGTCCATTTCGGAGAAGCGAAACCACGCTAAATAAATAAATAAATAAATAATCCTGGTAAAAGCGCACACCGGACCGCGCAGGGTAAAACACTCAGAGTTCAGTTGATCTGTTTGGATCAGACAGATCCAACTGACTGATGAATTATGCAGATTTTTCTGCAGATAGGAACCAGGAGGAAGTGCGTTCAGACCCCAGCGGGTGAAGTGATGCTAATTTAAGTAAATTTGCTTAATTTAATTTATTAAAAGTTATTGGGGCCTCAGTCAGTGTTTTTTTTTTTTTTGTCACTACGGAGAAAAATGTAGATGTATTTATCTGCTTAATTTGTGATGGGATCTGGATTCACGGTGTATATTAACTAAACTTATTTTTTTGTGCAAATTTTTCCCTCTAATTGTCAACCTTAGCACTTGGTGTCCTCCAACCTGTGAACTCTTTGGAATTGATGGATGACAGATGGTTCTTTGAGCACGAGTTGTTTGTTCTCCACGGACACAAGATCAACTATAACAAACTTGTTCAAAGAATACAAAGCATGATAAGGATACACTGCTAGATAATGTGCAACGAATCTCTGAGGAGGATTTGAAGCTGATCTCGGTTTCAAGGGGTTAAGGCTCAAGAGCTGTGGGCTCTGAAAGAATCTGAGGAATCCCTTCAGATTATTTCAATGCTTGTTCATTTTTCTTGGACCATGCTAAAGGTAATCAGGTGATTAAGCAGCACTGAAAATCACACAAAGACATCCTTAAAGAATGAGAGGTAGCATTAGGTGAGTGAGAATATGATGATGAATACTTTACCTGGACCAGTCAGCAGACGAGACATTCGGCAGGTGTAAGCTACATACTGTTCACACCTTTCTGCTCTGCTGGTGACTGACAATACCTGACACAGAAAGGCACAGTTGATGATTTAAGTTATAAATAAGTAGAAATAATATTTTAGAACAATATGTATGAAATATGGAATATTTATAATAATATTAAATATGGAAAATTAACACTCCCATTAAATATTCACAATGTTCACATATTGATGTCCAATCATATTGTTGAATGATTCCTATTACAAATAAAAATTGGTTTATTTTCAGTTAAAGAACATAAGTTTCAACTTGTTCCACATCACTGCATACTAGCAGGTGTCCTAATTTATTCATCACTCAAAAATTCATCACTCAAAAATATAATGAATGTTATACTTATTCATCACTCAAAAAAAGTATAACATAATAAGATGTTATACTTTACGGAGTTCCCTAGAAGACATGAGGATTTTTCTTTCTTTTGTGATCCCTTCCAAAAGGTTTAGCGTTCTCTCGCAGTAATGTACTGATCTGTTCATGTGGCATAATTGAATACTATAAGTCTTTTTTATGGTGGCCATCGTACTTTCTGCTTTAGTTATCATAAGGTTTTTCCATGTATGTTAATATTGTGTTGTGAAATATCTGAAGTTTTTTATCTTTTTATTTAAGATAGAAATGCACCACAAGCCTAAGACATAAATGGAAACTTTCCATAAGAAGGAAAGAAATAAAAAATACATCCAAACTATTTGGACTATTTCTGAGTTGTTGATTGTCTTTATTGTGTTGGTCTGAAAGGGTTAAAGGGCTGCTTTAATATGCAGTTCAATCTCAACCTTACACAAACAGACGTAAACATGCAGTGAATAAATAAATTTTCAATCAGTTTTTTTGCATTTTGCAAAAATAATAAACAAATTTTAATGGAGGCTTTATATATTTGACATTTTAAATGGATATTTGTGACTGTATACAAAATAGATCAGTAAATATTCCAGTAAGCATATTGCGAGGATACACAATTTTTTTTTTTCCACGTCCATAATATTTTGCAAATGGATCTCTTCTTCATTTTTTGTTTATTTGCATTACTTGAACATTTGAGTTGTTAAAATGGTTATTACTTAGCATATGTACAAATTACCAAATATGTACATAAAAACAGGTGGGACGTCAGATTTTTTTCAAATAGCTGTCTGATTATTTTTATATTATTATTGACCTTATGCAACTGAGAATCATTTTAGTAATCAATGATTCTGGATATGAATTAATCAGAAAATAACTGGCCCTTGCTGCATATTTATTTAACTACTTAAGCCTTCTTTATAGATGATTTAAATATAAAAAATTTGAAAAATGAAATTATTTGCATAGATGCAAATAAACAATTTAATTTCTTTTTCAAATAAACAAACATTTTATTGCCTAATATGCAATAACAGCATTTCTTTAGTGAATACTTCAGCAATGGATGTATCTGCATTTAATAATAATGCTAACGTCAACATATGAAAAGCTCTGCATTTTCTGCTTGACTTAACATCATTACAGTGTACACACTGCAATGTGTTGGCCACATTGCAGTGTGACTATTATTGGGATTATCCAATTAATGACTGGATAGCAAAAGTGCTTAATAGTAATTTTTATTTTTTTAACTTTTTTTTTTTAAACAGAAAAACCAGGTGAAGCTAAAACTGCCACTTGAAGAGTTTAGGGTAGAACAGATTTAATGACAAGGAAGGTTCATCTTAAATGAAAAATTTATTTATTTTCTGTTCAGGTTTGGCTTAACTGTATACTCCAGTTAACGATTAATCGATTACTAAATTAGTTGATTACTTCAATAATCGATTTATCCCAATTAATCCAATTTATTGTTTTAGTCCTACTTCCCATGTTCACTAATTACATTCATTTACAATGTCCGGTAACACTTTATTTGAAGGGGGTTGAATAAGACTGACATGACACTGTCATAAAAACCTGTCATGAACATGAATAAGCCTTCATGAATATTTATGACTGTTGTCATAAATATTCATGAAGGCTTATTCAT